CTACAGTCATACCACTTGAGTTCAGATCCTTAATGGTGCCTTAGCTGTGATCTTGGGCATGTTATAAACCTCTGCATGCCTCAGTTTCCTCATCTGTAAAATTGAGCTAATGGAAGTATCTACCTCATCTGGTTTTTGTTAGGTTTAAATGAGCCAGTATATGTAAAGCATTTAAGATAGTGCCTTGCCCACAGGGATTGTTTTATTATTACTTTCTCCTTCTACCTTATTTTACAGATATAATATCACTGTCTTTTGTTTCCTCCTAGACTCTACACTCCATGAGAGCAGGAGGATCTGTACCCTTTCATTTTTTGTAGCTCCTTTTGCCTTGACCTTAGCACACAGAACTAATCAAGCAGCAGATTTGGGAAAACTTAGGCCAATTCCTTCCTCTCTTTTCATCCCTAATATTTCAAGGTGACTTTAACTATGAAATAAGAGATTCCATAAAGAAGCTTATTGTAATTAAATGTCAAATTGGACACTAGACTAAACAGTCTATAGTCAGTGGCATGCTAATGCACAGGGTAAGCACGGGGCTTTTTAAAGAATGTTACATGTGGTGTTCAGCTATTTGATCCAGGGCTCCTAGTCCTGGTCCCATTCCACTGCTCTGAGCAGCCGGATTCCATTACCCTGCTTCCCAGGGCTGCGGTCAGCCCAGCTCCAGCTGGCCATGCGGACAACCTCGGCCACCATACCATTCAGTTCACTCTGCAGGGAGCAGACTCACCTGTGATCCATGGACAGATTGGTAAGCAAATGTGTATGGAAGGAAAACATTATGTATTACTCCTTCAGGACAAAGTTCAGTTGTAGTCAAGATTTCAGGTCAAATTCAGATCAGTTTCTAAGATATTATCCACAAATATTTCTCACATCTTTGCAGAGACGCTTCTTGGTCTGTGTTCATGGATTTGTGCCAAACAGCAGTTTACCCAACACTGTGATTCATTTATTTGTTTTCTATACACTGTCTGACTTTTCTCATATTTGGCTTTGGCTGAGGACACTGAGCATATGTTTCACATGGCTAGTCAGTCAGACTTTTTAGTGTACTTGGATCTTAACATAAAAACTAAATTAATTTGGGAATATATGCAAAGGTAATGAAAACACTAATTCAAAAAGATATCTGCATCCCTATGTTCATAGTAGCACTATTGACAATAGCCAAGACATGGACACAACCTAAGTGCCCATTAGTAGATGAATGGTTAAAGGAGTTGTGGCGTGTATACAGTGGAATATTATTCAACAATAAAGAATGAGGAAATCCTACCATTTGCAACAAATGGATGGACTTTGAAGACATTATGCTAAGAAAAATAAGTCAGACAGAGGAAGACAAATATGATACGATCTCACTTATATGTGGAATCTAAAAAAAAACTCATAGAAAAACAGATTTTACTTGTGGTTACCAGAGGCAGTGGGCGGGGAGGGGGAAGGGGGAATTGGAGGAGGTGATCAAAAGGTACATACTTCTGGCTATAAGATACATAAGTATTAGGGATATAATTTACAGCATGAACACTATAGCTAACACTGTATAATATTTAGGAAAGTTGTTAAGAGAGAAATCCCAAGAGTTCTCATGAACAGAAAAAAATGTTTTTTTAATTCTTTTCTTCTTATTGCATCTCTATGAGAAGATGGATGTTAGCTGAACCTACTGTGGCAATCATTTCACAATATATGTAAATCAAGCCATTATGCTGCATGCCTCAGGCTCATACTTTGATGTATGGCTATTATTACTCAATAAAACTGGGGAAAAAAATTCAAACCAAAGGCTGGGATTTTTCTAGTAATAAAGCAGGGACTACACATTTTCTTTTTAGTGATATTAACTTCAGTGTAACAGCATTAATGTTAAAACATAATTCAGGTCAGGTATAATATCAGCTCCTGGTGTGTCATTAATAATTCCTAGTTCATGAATAAGAGCCATATATAAAGTAGCACAAGCCCACAGAAATGGGCCTGGAGAAATTAGGCCACACAGGGCTCAGATAAATTAAAGTGTAAGATGCTGCCTTCTCTCCCAGAAGCAGCATTTCTTTTTTTGAAACTAACCTTGGCCACAGGCAGAGCAGGCACTGGCCTATAGCATGGAGGGACATTGGAAGTCCCAAAAGTTGGTTCTCTACCTGCCTTTTATGCTTACCATTCCTACCTCTAGAGTGGCATTCCATTGGCGAAGTTTGCTCCAGAGACTTCAGTCCATTGTTTTACTAATTTATTCATTCATCAAATGTTTATTCATGCCACTATGCACAGGAACTAGAAGAGAAAAGTGAGTAGGACACAGAGTTTTTTCTCTGGTGGGAAGACCACAACAGGGAGATGATTAAAACTCTGCATGTTTGACAAGTATCATGACAGAGCTTTACCTAGGGGGCTTCCAGAGAGGTAGGAGGTGACCCCAGAGAATGGGATGTCACAGAAAACCGAGAATGGAGAGATGCTGATGTCATGCACTTCACAGAGGACAAGTTGAGTGAGGAAGGGAAATGTTGGGTGTAGACCCCTCTAACAGGGTAAGAGCTTTAAGATGGCCAGGAGTTATGAACTAAATACAGTGACCCATGGAGTTCCAGTTTCACAATGTAAAGGCATCTGAGAGCTGGGCAGAATTTGATTCAGAAGCTAAAATTTGATAGAGAAGTGAGTGCAAATGGACAGACTGGAAATCTGGGCCCCTGTCAAGGAGGGGTTGAAGAGGGCATTTGGTTGTAGGAGAAACAACTTAGGGCACCGGAGCCAGAGTTGGAGAAGCCTGAGACAGGGACTAAAAGAGGAGGTCAGAAAATGCCAAGCAAATTGTACCTCTTTCGTTATTTGGGGCAAAGCGGGCACTGGATTAGTTCTTATACTGTGAGGTGCCAGAGGGAAGCCATAAGAGAAATTTGAATTAATGTCATTTATCTAATTAAAATAGGCCAAGCATGTGTTTGGCTTCAGGACTAGGGAGACAGTTGAATTCTTGAATTCTAGTCACTTCCACCACTGCACTATAACCCAAACAGCATATCTCTCCCTTCTACTTGGAGTACCTCTGTGCCCTCTTCTTTGCCTTTCAAGAGTTGGCAGAAGTGTCCCCTTCTTCCCTGATGGTTCAGACTGTTGATCGTGCCTGCTCCAAGCTCCTGGGGCAATCAGCACATCTCTCTCGTGGATTAGCACTCATCCATCACTGCCCCTATTTGCTTCTCTGTCTCTCTACCAGCTGTGAGCTGAGAGTAGAGATTGCCTTCCAGCCCTATATCCCCAGGACTTAGCCAGCCTAGAACACAATATTCTGGCAATACATTTCTGTGGATGAATGGGTGGTCCTGTGGTTCTGTGGATGGCTGGTTGGCTTGAACAAATTAGATGAATGGCCCAAATCAGTAAGGATTTGAAGTCTCCTTAGGCATATAGACCTCAGGGAGTGAATGCTCAGAAAAGTGGTGAACATATTTCTCTTGCCAATAAGTTTCAGCCCCAGACAAGTTCACTATGCATTCAGTGAGACTGAAAAAAAATGACAGTGCAACGTTCTTGGGGTGAAAGAGTTTATATCCAACTTTATTCCTGCGGTGGCAGGTCATTCACTAGAATCCCATCCACCCAGAGCAAGTCTGCATGCAGCAAGCCAGTCTCTGCCTCTGGGCCTCTCTGCCCCTGCAGCCATCTCAGTCTTTGTCCTTGGCACTGCCACCACTCCAGCCTCTGCTTTTCTGCAGCCATGTCGCCCAGAGGACTGGGTAGAGCTCTTTACATAGAGTCAATAACAACGTATTGCCCACATGTGTGCAGTGAGCAAGCTAACCAGGGCCAGGTGAGAATCCTGGCCACGGGAACTTCCACTTGCTCCACAGTATTTTAATGTTGTAGCAAACAGTGGGTAAAAAGCAGGTATCTTGGTCCAAATCACACCTAGTTGCAATTCTGTGTGCTTTATTTGCCTGTTCACACAAACTCTGTAATTTTTGGCCAAGGTTTGCTTAGTAAGCAGGTTTCAAAGTTGTGGAAGGAGGAGCAATCTAATCGAAAAAGTTCAAACCAGGAGCCAGGAGGTCTCGCCTCTCTTCCTGATCCCCCACTGACTTCCTGATTCTGTAACCCAGACGAGCTCCTTATCTCCAGATGCTTCCAGTCTTCTGACCTCCAGTCTTTCCCCTTTGTACTCCGGCCTCCACCCTCCACCCACTTATCTTTCCTGAAAACAAATTAATCATCTTTTTTTTTTTTTGCCTCTGGAGCAAAGTCCCACCTCCATCGCAGGCAAGTGAAGTCTTTTGAGTATCTCTCAAAGCTGATGGCTCTTTATCACGGCTCTTATGCCCAGTTACTTCGCGGTTTCCGTTCCCCTAAGCAAGCTCTTTCATGCCCCTGTGTGTTTTTCACACACTGTCTCCGATATCAGCAATGACCTTCCACACACATTTCACCTGAGGAGCTCCTGTTTGTTCACCTTTTAAGACTCAACTACTGAAGCCCAAGAATTGCTTCCTCGGTGAAGCCCCTTCTAACGCCTTCAGATGACGTAAGCACCACCTCCAGCCTGCTCCCATAGCATTTTACTTATTTATCACAGACCACTTAGAACCCTGATAGAAATTATTTGCTTACTCAACTACCTCAGGTTCCACCTAAACCCTGGGTTCCTCTAAGTCAGGGGCCCTTGTTCTTGTATCTTCCCTCTAGTTTTGAGCACTTAGAGGTTCCTCAATGTAAGCTGGTTGAAAAAAAATCAAAGGAGTTATACTGAATTTTACATGCACTGTCTCTCTAACTGTGGCTGCTATTCACTACTCCATGTCCCCATGAAACCTATTAATAAAGATTGTTTTGCTGAGCACTGATCAGGCAGCAGGCACACTATTTGATACCCTTTACACGTGATAGCTTCATTTAATTGTTATCTCAGCCTTGCAAAGCAGGCATTACTATCACTACTACTTTACAGATAAAGAAACTGAGGCCCAAAGAGGTTAAGTATGTTTCCCAAGTCATAGTTAATAGATGGTGGAGCTAGGACTTAAACTGAAGATTCTCCAACTTCAAAGCCCATGACCTTTCCACAAATCACATGTTTCCTCCAAGGCCTGCACCTGGAAGGTTCTGGGTTGTTTAACTGCTCTGCACTGCACTAAATAGGACTGCAAGATCAGCTTGCAGCTGGGGCCTGGCCATCTTCACAGCCCATCCATGAAATCCTAGACAGCCGGCATGCATGGAGACAAAGCTCAGATCCTCTTCCTGGCAGGAGGCTGTCTTCTGGCACATGCGGCCGGCACTCCACTTCCTGGGATCAGATGAAGCCCTCAGCCCTCTCAAGTTCATGGGTTTGTCCCTGATGTCCAGCCCAGAAACTGTCTGCTTCCAGGATCCCTAGAGAATGAGACATTATTGGCTTCTGGGATGTTTTTCTGGTCACGGAGCCCTCAAGGTGAAAGGTCTCTTGGATGGAAGGGAACAGGCCAAGTTTATCCAGCCCTGCAAGGCGTCAGGCGGCCCGGAGCCACATTCCGTTAGGATCCATGGAACAGCTGAGGCTGCTTCTCCTCAGCATGATACCTGCCCTCCGAGGACAGCGCTCTTCCTGCCCTGCTGTGCAGCTGACATAAGGCAGAAATCCCACTGCAGAGCTCCCTTCAGGCTGGACCCTGTGCACAGGCCCTTGGAAACTCCCTCTTCTCTCTCTGCCTCCCCCTTCGGCGTATGGGGACAAGAGGAACTTGCGAAAGGGTATGTGCTCTTGTCCTGCAATGTCTCGTAGGAATACAGGAGAGAGAAGAAGGGAGAAGAGTATTTCCATGCATGTGAATACCCATTATGTGCCAGCCATTTGACATGCATCATCCCATTCAATCATCACTGTAAGTATTGTCCCCATTTTAAAGATATGTGAACTGAAACTTACTTCTAAGCACAACACTGCTGTTTCCTTTCTTTGATAACAGGGATATTGTGAAACTGTTGACTTTGGGCCTGAGAGCCAGTACCTGGGAGCTCAGCATGAGGGTGAGGTAGGACACGACCCTGCATACTTCTGCAGGAATCAGGGATTCTATCGGAACCCCAGATCCAGCTGTTCAGTACTGGGAAAAGCAAGCAGTTTGAAATCCCACAGAAAGGTCTTGAACCAGGAGTTTGAGTGCATTTGCCTGAGTCCCAGTTCTAGGACTTACCATATGTGAAATCTTGTCTTGGTTTTCTCATCTATAACGTGGGAATGAAAACAACTGATTTCCTATTTTAGGATTTTGTGAGAATTAAATGAGATACAAGTTGTAGGGTGTGGGGAAGTGTTACAGAGACCCGGCCTATTCATAAATGAGCCACGTTCGTGTCCACCACCCCTTCCTCTATGATCAGCATGATCAGACAGCTCCCCACTCTCCAGGTTAATTTTTCTCTTGCCCTTATTCCCTACCCCTCACCCCCGCCCCAGACCTAAAGCTAAATGGAGAACAGTTTGGTGTAGAGGAAGGAGATTAGACTAGAAATTGGATGACTTGGGTTTGAGTCCTGATTTTATTAATTACTGGATGTGAGGTAATTTTGTCATGGAGCCTCAATATTTTCATCTGCTGAATGGAGTTGATATTGGTTGCGGTTGCCCTGAAGACTGTGTGAAAGGGAATACATCAATGCTTTGTCCCTTCTAATGCGCCATCCAAATGCAAGTTATTCATCCAATGAAGTGTCTTGGCCATCTGCTATGGATCAGGCCCGGGCCAGGTGATGGGGGTGCAAAGACAGTAAGACATGAGCGCTAGTAAGCTCACAACCTGAGGAGGGGACAGACCCATAGACAGGTGATTACGACACAGTGTGGTAAGTACCACTACAGGGGAGGAGCAGAACGCTGGCAGCCCAGATGAGGAGCACTGAATGAGTTACCTACTGCTGTGAAACAGATCACCCCAAAACGTAGTAGCTTAAAACAAGCACTTCTCATCTCACAGATGGTCTGAGAGTCAGGAATCTGGGAATGGTGTAGCTGGGTAGTTCTGGCTTGGGGCCTTTCATGGGGTTTTTGCGTTCTCTGCTGGCTGATTGCATTCTCTGATGACTTGCCTGGGATGGGGAACCCACTTTCAAGCTCACTCGCATGGCTGTTGGCAGGAGGCCACCCTTCCTGGCCATGTGGGCCTCTCTGTGGGTCTGCTCAAGACTCCTCTCTTCCCGAGGCAAGTCACTGAGAGAGAGAGCGTGTATGTGAGAGAGCACTTGAGGTTATAGCCTAAGCTTAGGAGTGCCATGCTATCTATCACTTCTGCCATTTTCTCTTTGGCACAAAGCCATCCATGGTACAGTACAGGAAGGGAAGACACAGGGTGTGGCTCACAGGAGATGGGGATCTTTGGGAGCCATCACGAATGCCTGCCTCCGTGGGCACCCCATGCTGGGAGAGAGGAGGAGCTGGGTACATTTTATGAAGCTTAAGCTCAGGTATATTTTTATTGCTTCTTGAAGTTTCTGTTAGATTCTGACTAGTAAGAGAAAACTTTCTTTTCTATTCAGATTTTTCTGCTGTTAAATGGAAACGATGTTAAATGGAAAATACAGAGTAAGCTTAGAGCTGTCAAATAGAAGTAATGACTTGGCTGGCGGAAGCACCTTCCAGCATAGTCTCCCTGGCAGCTGACCACCACCAAGAGCTACACCTGCTTCTATTAACAATGCAGTGCATGTTGTATCACGATCATGTGTTGATGTGTCCGCACATTGTGCCGTGATCATGTGTTTACATGCCTGATGTCCTCTAGACTGCTCTGAGCAAGCAGGAAAAATGTCTTTCTGGTATGTGGCTGTGTCTCACATCTAGCTTGGTGCCTGGCACTGTGCCTAATTATTTGATAAAAGAATGAATGGAAACTGAATGACTACAGGGTACACTCTAAATATCTTAGCGTCCGTGCAGATAAATAATTATCTCAACACTTAAGAGCAATGCTATGTGTCTCCTGAGTGGCAGGTCCTGTGCTACCAGCTTTACATATATTACTTCATTTAATACTCATCACAACTAATGGAAGGTAGTATGATTCCCATTTAACAGATGAGGAAACTCAGGTCACACAATTAGAAAATGCTAGAGCTTGGATTTGACCCCAGGACTGTCAGACCCCAAAGCCTGTGCAACATGTACTATCACACCTAGAAGCAGATCTTAAACACCAAGCAATTGCAGATCTGAAAGATTTCTGGTGATTACCAAGTCGGATAAAAGAAAACTAAATAGTCTTAAGGAACAATTTGATTCATATCCAAAAACCAAGTATCTCCCCTTCACACACACACATAGACACATACACCCTTATTTTTCCAGGAAAGCCCAGCTTAAGCCCCATCTCTTCTAGGAAGCCTTCTCTGACTCACAGTGATGCATGTCTCCTTTAAAATCCTGCCCAACTTGTGATAATGCCATTCAGCTGATACCTACCCTATATAGTCTTGATTTGCAGCTTATCCTTTTTACAGTTCAGGTTCACAGCTTTCTTCTCCATACACTGAGAGAGCTGAACTACTTCTCAAATGCTCTTTCTGGCTTGCACACTGCGGGAGGTATTTCTGGCTTCCCACAGTCTCAGTCACCTTGCAGGGAGGACCATGTGGCTGCGCGTGGCAGGCCCTCTCTGATAGCAGGGGTTTTGCTCAGTTGTGTTGGAAGAGCCTGCTTTCTATCATCTCCTGAGTACTCTGTAAGTTCCTGGGGACTCCTTAGGGTGTCCTAACATCTAACACGGGGCCTGGAGCACAGTAGGCCATCCATAAATGTTTCCTGGAGAACTATATGAGTGAGTGAATAAATGAAGTGGTGGTCATACCTAGAACCCTTACAAAAACCTCTAATATCATTGGTGTCATTAAATCGGCAGTAGTAATTTCTTTTACTTGTTTGGTGCTCTGACCTTCCCCAGACAGCATCTCCTTCAGACCCTTTCCCTTATCCTAGGGCTTTTGGCCTACAGAACCAGGATGGAACATTTGGAGTCTGAGTGGACAGAGCTGTAGACACATGGGCAAACTTTGATTTGGCTTGTCCCAGACAGCCTGCCATCATCCCTTTCTGTCTGGACTTTTTATCACATCCTTTATTGCAAGATATTCCTGTAACATGAGGCAATGTCCTTGCATACAGCTCTGTCTGCACAGGTTCCATATGTGATCTGCTTGCTCTTGGATGCCATCACCCATCTCTGGCAGTCGGGGAGAGGATTATGACTTCATCTTGGCAGCAGCATTGCCCCTGGACCTCCCCTGTCAAATGGGAACTCTCCCGAAAACTTCCTGCAGCAGCTGCTCCCACACAGGGTAACAGGGTTACTGCATATGCCACTGATAGGACCTTTATTTGTTCAACCTTTTCTCTATTTCTGCCTTACGACAGGGAAGGAACAGAGTGCAGTTCCAGAGAGCATGGGTTTTGCTGTTAGACCTGGATTTTCATCCTGGTGCTGCCCCTTATTTGCTATGTATCTTGGGCAAATTACTTAACTTCTCTGAGCCTTAACTTTCTCACTTGTAAATTAGGAATCATGGTATCTACTTCATAGGGTTGAGGATTGCGGTAATGTTTTAGAACAGAGCCTGCGAATGATAGTCCCACAATCAATGTCAGCTCCCATAATTCACTATTATTTGGTGTGTCTGCTGCTCACACTAAAGACAGTGAGAAGCTGCAGGTGCGTCTTCATCATCACCATCAATTTTTGGTGGAAGAAGAAATTCAGACTTACTGAATGCTAGCCTAAGAACTTCACTTCCTTCCCTGAATTCATTTAATGTTTAGAAGGACACCAACTTACAGGTAAAGCTTAGGGGGTTTAGGAACTTGCTCAGTGTCACACAGCCAGGGTGGAGAGCAGTCTTCCTGAGAGATGGTCTGTCCCTGTTCCCCGCAGAGTGCTCTGGGGCCCCCTGGAGCCTTTTGTTTGGTTCTTCTCAGCAATAAATCTATGCGTTTACCTTGACATCCTTTCTCACACTTAGAGCTGCTGGGTACGTTTAGTTCTCACCTCTCTCCCACTTCCTTTACTGGCCCCAAGCTGTTCTCTGAGTCCTGCTCCAACTTCTCTTTTTCCACTCAGCCCTCGTTAGTCTGGTTTCTTGGCAAACTTGTTCCTGTTTCCCTGGGTCTGTCCCCCTCCTCCTTTCTCTACCCAGCAATTTCATCTTCATGGCCTCAGCTTGCCCTGTGCCAGGGACTCTCTGTGCTAGCCTCAGCAGGATGGGTATCAGTAGCCCAGGCTGGGTTGGCTCAGCTGCCTGCCCAGGGGTGGGGTGAGGTGGGTGGGAGGTGCAGAAGGTGACTGTGCTGGGGGTAGAGGGAGGCCAGGAGAGAACCAAGGGGCTGAAAGAGAGTCAAGAAAACAGCTGCCTCCTCAGGTGAGGGCAGACAGTGTCCCCGGATGCTGCTGAGGCAACTGCGAAGTTAGGACCACTCTGTCAGGGCTTCTGATGCATCTCAGGGGGAGCAAGGGCTGCAAGACCTTGGGCTCAAGGAAGTCAGGGTAAGCAGGCTGCATGCTAGGCTTTCAGCTGATACTGTGTTGGGAGGAGTTCAGGTCCAAAAAAGATCCCAACAGGAGTGGGATAGGGATTTATGGACAGGCTCAATTTTCAACAGTCTATTTGTAATAATAAACCCATCAGACGATCCCAGAAATTCCATTATTTTGGCATCCAGATTGGATGTCCCAGCCTGCCTCTCCTACTCAGAAGTTGGACCAAAAATCCTTTGGCACACATTGGCTTCTGATTTTTAGTCCTGAAAATGCAGTCACCATATCTAACCCATATTCTGTGATCTAATCTATATGGAGAAATGTTATATACTGTTATGGCACTCCATTTTTCTGACTTTCTG